CCATCAAGGGCAAGAGCCACATCCTGCCACAAGGCCCACAGTAAGACCCCTTCACCCAACCTGTTTGGGCCCCTTTGGGAGCATGGTAGGGTGCTTCAGGAGAGTGACCCCAGCTCTCTATAAGTTCACATGCAGTTTGGTGAAGGAGACAAGCTGGACTTTGGGCATCTTTACCAGTAGAAGCCTTGTAATGGAATGGTTAAGAGCCCTAGCCCCTGTGAACCTTGGTTTCCTCATCTGTAGAATAGGGTCAATAACAACAAACTTTCAGGGTTATGATGAGGAGTGAACAAAGGATATACCCCCAGTGCTTAGCCATTTCATTAACTCTAACGGGTCAGGGTCTTGTCTGGGTCCTATGGCCACCTATTTACCTTTTCAGGGTCTCCTTTTCCTCACCTCAGATAGGGACAAGGAGGCCTGTCTTAGAAGGTGGTTGTGTGAATTAACTGAGATAAGGGGCATAAAAGCATCCTGCTCAGAGCTTCACAGTTGAACCAGACAATTAAGGGTCCCCTCAACACCCTGCTCAGCAGTGTCATCCTTTTACTGCCCACCCTTTCAAGATCAGTGGGAGCAGCTGCCCACCCAGGAAAGGAGGAGAGAGAAGGCCCTGGACTGACTAAATCCTTAAGAAAGGAAAGCTCCAAGCAGTTGGGCTTCAGAGAATTCAGCTAGGTTTATGGGGTTGGGAGGGTGTTTCTCGGCAGTGAACAGTCACCCTCAGGCTTCCATCTGTGGGCCCTACTAGAGCTGGCTGGTAGTAAACTCCTTCATGGGGTGGTGCCTGAACCAATCCATACCCACCAGACAGAAGCAAAGAGCTAAATATATGTGATGTGGGTGATATTTTCTTTTATTAATTTCCTTTAATCCAGTTTTTAAAATAAGGGGAAAAAATGAACAACCATTAAAAAAAATAAAAAATAAAAAGGCATACAGAGTTTAGCCGAGGAGCTGGCCTCCTTCAGCCTGCGGCTTGTTTCCCGGTTGTCCTGGCTGTTTGGATGCCAGACAATGCCGAGTGTGGGTTACCCTGTGGCCTAGAGTTGCCAAAGGCTGTCTGTGGTGCTGCTGTTCTGGGTCTGCCTGGCAGACTCTCCCATCCCTTTCCCTCCAGATGGCATTCCCCACCTCTGTGAGGCTGACACTTAGAGTACTCTGTCCTGCTCTGCACTCCCACTGCTTCCAGTCCAGCTCCCTCGAGCTTAGAAGGGATTTGTCTTGACCATCACCTTTTCTTTGTCAAAAATTCATGGTGGCTTTCTGCCTCAGCTGCTGCCATGGCCCCTGTGAAAAAGCTTGTGGCAAAGAGCAAAAAAAAAGAAGCTGGTTCTGAACTTTTACCTTTGACTACACCTACCCTGAAAAAGGTAGCATCATAGATGCTGCCAATTTTGAGCAGTTTCTTTAGGAGAGAATCAAAGTGAATGGAAAATATGAGAATCTTGGTGGAGGGATTGTAACAGTCAAAAGAAGCTAGAGCAGGACTACTGTAATGTCTGAGGTGACTTTCTCCAAAAGGTATTTGAAATATCTCACCAAAAAATATTTGAAGAAGCATAATCTACATGATGGGTTTCCCAGGTGGTGCTAGTGGTAAAGAACCTTCCTGCCAATGCAGTAGACATACATAAAAGACTTGGGTTTGATTCCTGGGTCAGGAAGATACCCTGGAGGAGGGCATGGCAACCGACTCCAGTTTTCTTGCCTGGGAAATTCCATGGACAGAGGAGCGTGGCAGACTACAGTCCAAGTGACATGACTTTGTGACTAAACAACAACTACATGATTGGTTACCTATAGTTGCTAACAGCAAAGAAAGTTAGGAATTGCGTTACTTCCAGATTAGTCAAGATCAAGAAGAGGAGGAATTTGAAGGTTAAAACTCAATTATCTGGAATATTTTGTATGAGTTCTTTTATATATATATGTAATATATATAATATTATATAATTTTTTAAAAAACTTTTGTTTATTTTTCTTCACCACATCTCAGTTGCGACATGTGGGATCTAGTTCCCACACCAGGGATCAAACCGACCCCTGCGTTGGGAGGACGTTTGGACCTAGTGATTGGACCATCAGGAAAGCCCCTCTGTATGAGTTCTCGAATAAAACTTGGGAACAGAAACAACAAAAAGTTCATGTCTGGTCTGAGCATCTAGGCCACTCTAGTGAGATTTCAACTTTTATTTATTCCACATCTCCCGGGAAAAAACAATTATTGCTGGAGTCCAGACACCAAGGTCAGTTGCAGGTCTGTGAGCCCTACCTGGACCCACTGTGGAGTAAGAGTGCTTCCTTGTGAATCATCTATCAGAGACAGAAATGAAAGGTTTTACTCTAGTATCTACCTAAACAGAATATGGTGACATTGCATGGTATCACATGGGACACCTTTTTCCTACTACGGACACCAATAGCAGAAACTCTGCTCTCTTGACCACAGTCCTTGTTGACTGACAGCAAACTCATCATCTTCCTCTTGTTCAAACGATGATTGTGTTGTCTTGGTGCCCAAAGTTCTTCTTAGCTGAACTGGGAAGATGTAAGGGAGAGAGAGGCAGCAGATGCATGAAAACTTCTGTTCCTTGTGAGTGGCTTGGTTCTGCCTTGTTAACAGGTAGAGTCTGCCTCAGTTACCTGTTAACATAAAGTGCAGATACTTTAAGGCTTGTTTTGTCTGCGCTTTGTGCTAATGTGAAGCTTCCCCCTTCAGTTTCACTGGAACCTTTAGGCAGTGGAATAAATGGCACCTTTTGCCAGATGTAGCTGATACAAACTGTTCAGTGGGCCCACCACGTACTCTTACTCCCTCCTTTTGGGAAAACTGTTCTTCCCTTCTTTCAACCATTGGCTATTCTCTGAAGTTGCCAATTGCAGGCCCCCAGTCGAAAATGGGACAGCATGTGACATAAGTGGGCCGATGTCGTCACATCTGCTTGGATATGGTGATTTGGCAGAGGGGAGAGTGTGGGACCCAGGTTAGGCCCCCGGGAGATGGAATCTTTGGAGACAGAGAAGTGGATGTTTCCATCCTTTATCAGGAAATGAATGCCATTTATGAGAGGCTGAGAGAATTAGCAGTGAGAAGAAATGGAGAAAGGAAAGAATCCCTCTCTGTGATTTGTTTACTTAAAACTGACACCTTTTTAGCTTTAAGTTGTTGTTTTTTTAATTGGTTTTCTGTCACTTGCAAGTGAAAAGCACCCAAGGGAAAGATTCTGAGATACCTGGAGACCCCACAAAAGTGGTTGGTGACATCCATATCTATGTATACCCTTTCTGTTTGTGTACATACATACATTCACACAGGCTTGGTGTAGGCCAGAGAGCATGCCCTTGGAAGGAGTTGATTCTATGTTTGCTACTCAGAAAGTGTGTGTTTGTTAAAACCACTGGCCTGCAGGTTTGCTTTTGCTGAAAACTCTCCCCCTGATCTTGGGCAATCCATCACTAACTGGATCCTAGTTAGAGTGAAAAACCAATTCAGTTTGCCAGGAACTGAGTGGTTTCCTGGGACATGGGACTCCCATTGCTAAAACCAGGATAGTCCATCATCCTAGCTCAGTTCTGTATCTGTAAAAATGAGATTGGATTGGACTAGAAAGGGCTGGGAAAGTCTGCCAAATCCTGCATTCAGGCAGACCTTGCCAATTGCCCTTGGCACTAACTCCTGTAAGTTTAAGTGCATTCCTACAATCCTTTGCCATAAGACCAGCTACTGTCAAAATTGGCACCTATTTGCCAGAGTTGGACTGAGTTTTTGACAAGCTGAGATTTTAAGGATCAGAATTTATTGAGGACCAACTGAGTAAAGCTCTGCCGTAAATCCCACGTCAGGCTGTCTCCAGCCTGAGCTAAATGACTTCCCTAGAACTTGCGGATCTTGTTTTTTAGGATTTGATTGTACATTTGTGTGAATATATGAACCGGTATTGGGTTATTAATTCAGCTTGTTCTTTGAAAACTTAAATTTATTGGGTGTTCAACATGTGCTAAAACTACATAAAAGCTCTCATGCCAGCTAATACTGCGAGCTTGTGAGTGCCTGCATTTTGGAAAAAAGCAAACTGAGGCTTTGTGATCCAGTGCCTATCTAAGGGGCAGCCTATCTAAGTGCCAGCAGGCAGGGGAGTAAGTGAGGTCCCATTTGAGGCCCTTCTGATTCCAACAACTCAGACCTTTCCACCATGATGCGGATTCAGTTGGATCTCTTTGGTCTCTTTCCACCGTTAGTCTTTGATGTGCACAGTCTGCACCCCTCCTGGTCGGTTTTCGGAATCTCCAAGGACTTAAGTTTCCAAAGGAGACTTTGGAGTCTCCTTCAAGTCTCCAAGGACTTAAGTTTCCTGGCGTTCAGGTGACAATTTGGGGTTACTCTGCGCTGCTGGGGAGCCCAAAAGTTGCAGGCAGTGTAGAGGAAGGACTCGCGCCGGCAGCTCCCTATCTCCAAGAACGGGGCAGATCCCCCACTGAACGAAGTGGCCCGCGGGCGGGCCAGGGAAAAAGGGGCCGCGCGGCGCCCAGGGAGGAGCCGGGTTTCGCTGCAGTCCAGCGGCCCCGCAAGCAGACTTGCGGCGCATGCGCGGCGCGGGTCGCAGAGTTGTGAATGGTGCGTTTTGTTTGCCGGAGTTTGGGGCGGGCGGGCGCGCGAGGAGGAGGGGTGGGGCCGACGGGGGCGGGGCGGGCGGGCTAGCGAGGTGGGCGGTGAGAGGAAGTGGCGGCGGCGGCGGCGGCCGGGGGCGGCGAAGGTTGGGTCCGCGCGGGCGGTAGGCAACGGCTGAGGCGGCGGCGGCGGCGTGGGCTGGGCTCGAGCGGGCGGCGGCACCTTAGACTCCCGGGCGCGGGAGCCCAACGCGGGCGGGCGCCTGAAACAAAGGGAAGCGAGAGTCAGGGCGCCGCGGGTGGGCGGTCAGTCGGTCAGCGCGGAGCCGGCCAGCGGGTGCCCGCGGAAGCCTGGAGCCCGGCGGCCGGCGCGGCCTCAGGGCGGGAAGATGCCGCGCGTCGTTCCTGACCAGAGAAGCAAGTTCGAGAACGAGGAGTTCTTCAGGAAGCTGAGCCGCGAATGTGAGGTGAGGCAGGCGGCGGCGGGGAGGCCGCGGCGCGCCCCGAGAGGGCCCGGGCGGAGAAAAGTTTGGGCGGTGCGGCCCCGGGGATCCCCACGCCGGCGCGCCCGCGGAGGGGCAATCTCTCCCGGGCAGCCGTCTCCCCGCTGACTCTGCTTGCCTTTATCGGGGCGGCGCGGGGCGGACGGCGCGGATTTGGCTCCTGATTTCGGGCCGTCTCTGCCTTGCAGATTAAGTACACGGGCTTCAGGGATCGGCCCCACGAGGAGCGCCAGGCGCGCTTCCAGAACGCCTGCCGCGACGGCCGCTCGGAAATCGTAAGTCGGCGGGACGGGGGCGCGGGGGAGTGAGGCGCGCGCGGGTCACTTGTTGCACTGGGGCCGCCGCGGCCCAGGCCGGTTCCGGACGGCGCCGCGAACGCCGCGGCTCCCGGAACTGAGCGGGCGCCGTCTCACTTCCTACTCGGGATTCAAAATGCGAAACCAGACACTGGCGGGCCGCGTCCTCGCGGGGAGACGCTTCTAGGTGGCCGTCGGCGGGTGATTATGTTTCCCACACACGACTCGGCGGACACTTTGCCGCGAGTGGGTCTCAAACCCAAGCCCAACTAAACCAGGAAAGGTCACTATATAGGCTGTGACCCTGATTAAAGAAAGGGTTGGGATATTAGTAGGAAGAAAACACCCGTAGGGAAAAAGAAGTGGTCTTCGTTCAAAATCGTTTCTTGGGCGCTAGATTTTGCGTAAATCTATGTGTGAAGCTATCTCTTTTTCAGTAGAGCTGGGAATAAATCAGAGGGTAAATCCAGTTATCTGTTGTCCTAAGAGAGAAAAAAAGAGGCCCCGCAAAACGTGCCATCTTTTCTTCGCATATTAAGCTTCAGGAGAATCGGAGAGAAACCTTTTTTCCCTCCAAACCTAAAAAACATATCCCGCTTAGGCCTGCAGTTTTTTAAAGAATTGCATGGATTTGCAAAACCCGCAGTCGATTTGAGGCCCTGTTTTAGATGTTGGATTTGGTGCTTTACCTCCACCGAACGTTATGCTGAAAAAAAATTCAAGTATCCTAGTTCTCATCTCCTTTTGGTTTGTCCTATTGGAGGTGCTAATGAGAGAATGATGGAGCCAAAAAGTGCATCGGAAAGAACTAAAGAGAGGAGACTGGTTGTTAATTTTTTAAGAAGTTGAGGAACTGTATAATGGAATTTGATTATCTGCTCCATGACTTGGGCCACTGCATCTTCACAAACTTGAACCTACAGGCGCAGTTTGAATTTAGGTTAACAATAGAAAGACATGTTGGACCATTTGCTTCTCCCATTCCCTGTACAGTAGAGAATATTTTTATTGAGACATAATTCACATATCATAAAATTCTCCCTTTTCATCACTGAAATCAAGTTTATTTTTTAAAAATATTTTGATGTTTAAGACAAAGGCTTTTTAAACTGTATTACAGATAATGAGAAGATATGGCCAACTTTACTAGGAACTCTAGAATATTTGGTCATTATTGCACATTATAAAAGAAAATGTCTAGCTTTTAGCCCACTTGCTTGAGTAGTTGTAATTGTTATATGATTCAGATGTATAGGACAAATAGTTTTTGGTTTTGGCACTAAGTGGTAGAGGAATCTTTCCTTACTTAGTTGGTTCAGTGATTATATCATCCTTTGTCTGGATTTCCTTTTGGAAAAGGTGGATGGTATACCCAACCAATGGATTTCTTGGAAGTAATTGATGTAAGTATAAAAGATGAGCTATAAAATGCTATTGTAATTTTTAAGAGAAATATAGTTAATTTTTTAGGGAAATATAATTAATAGGGTATTTTCTGTCATATCAAATTTTACTGCATGTGATTATGAATTGGTAGTATAATTTAAGTGTATTTGAATATATATGAATTCATAGTATATTTGAATTACTATATCATATATAACATGAGTTTCCTATTATAGCAGTATTATAGGTTGCTTGTATATGTTATAAATTCCTCTTCAGGGATCAATCAGACATTCTAATTCTAGGCCTTCTCTTCTTCCAAAAATCTGATCCTACAAATTTTAATAAGTTCTTAATTTCTAACAAGTATTTAGGTTAAAGAAGATAGGTAGTTTGAATTAATTAAGACAGCACAGTTTAATGCGTTGAATAGTATAACTTTGTATTTGGAAGGAATTTCACTTTTTCCTCTCCAGTTTTCTCCCTTTAATTCAATGTTAGCCATACTTAAATTAACAGAGTTTTAGCTTCTACGGGCTAGAGACCACATTAATTTCATATATGTCCCCTTCGTATGGGTTTTGCCCAGTATCTTTTGCATCATAAGCACTTGATTATTTGAATTTAAAGGTTACTTCATTTAATGCCCCAAATTTATCTTATGACTTGTAAACAGGCTGTGGCTTTTACTTATTTGGTGGTGGAAAATAGGTAGGGAAAGGCATTTTTTTTTTTGCTTCTATTTTAATAGCAGCCATGTGTGATAAAAATATATAGTTCTCCAAACTGTGTCCCACCCTTCCCCCCTTTTATTATTTTTTTATTAGGAACACCTTATCAGTGAGGTTAATGAAGAATTTATTTTGTATTTAGATGTAAAACAACATAAGGCTATGATGCTCATTTCTTCTTAGGTATAAAACTTACCAAGACTCTATATCATAGCATGAGATAAGTGTGATTATAGGTGAGGGGTAGAATCTATTTTCTAAAATCAGATTTATTCCTTATATAAGCTCTTGTATTATATATAGTAAGAGTATTAAGAGATATCTTCAACACTAATGATTAATAAAAAAAAAACTTATGAGAGGTATGGTGACTACTGTGAAAGTGGTAAAAACTGTTTCTAATCTTGAAGATGGAAGAATAAAGGTATGTTAGATTGGCACAAGTGTGCTATTTTACAATTTAATGAAACCTCATGAAATATAATCAGGACATTCTGAGAATTCTCCATACAGCCGTTTTTACCAGTGTGGATTTTTATGTTTTCAAACAAAATTTTCCCAACTCCTATGTATTGTAGATGTTCCATTAAAAAAAGAGTTCTGTGGTCAAATAAATTTGAGAAATGGTATTCTAGAGTGTGATCTGTTTTTACCACTTCTCCAGTCCCAGAGAGGTATGTTGATGAGATAATGGACATGAAGTGATGAAGCAGGAAATCTTCTGAGGTTGGCCTTCAGGCGGGAGGTGAGGTAATGAGTTGCAGAATGTCTTTACTTAGCCCAGAGCTGATTTGGGATACACTGTGACAGAAGGATTTGTTACTAGGTGACTACTGAAGAAACATGGCTGCGGGATTTTGGCAGGGTATTCATTCACGGACAGGATCTCTTATCTGTCACCATTCTGCTCTGTGAATTTCACTGTCTGAGACTGAAAGAGTTGGCTGTCTTCTTCAGCTAAGAATTACTTCTCATTGTATTTAGCAAATACATGTAGCATTTACTGGGTGGTGTTCTAAACACTTGACAAGTAGTGGAAACTGAGGTTCAGAGTGAAGTAATTTGCCTCAGGTCAGCATAGGCAGTTTGCCTCCTAGTGTCTGCTTTTCACTTCAGTGGTTGTTTTTTAAACTTATGCTAATAGTTGGCAAAGTTCTTAAGGTTAATATCGTAATATTGATGTTTGTTCAGTCTCTATTCATATAAGTATTTAACCACAAGAAAAGTTATCCCAGTGATTAGGGAGATGCCATTAAAGGTATCTTTAGAGATTTAGCAGTTAGATTGACCACTGTACCTTCTAGTATCAATCATAGAAATAGGAAGTGCTGTAATTTTTATCTGTAAAGAATCTAAGCCCCTATCTTCGGGGGAACTAGTGGATAGCTGAATCAGCTAATGCTTTAAACAAATTGCCCAAGAATGTGCACCCCTAGCTTTCAGATGAAGACTCTGTACTTGGAAACAAATTATGTTTTAGAATTTTAATTAGTAAACTAAAACAAAAAGTTCTCTGATTTCAACAAAGAGTTTACATGCAGAATTTTTTTAATGCTTTTTATGTATTTCTTTTAGATTTTCCCTGGGAAAGAGGGACTGTTATTTCCATTTTTAACTAGGGGGAAGTATAGAGTTAAATTGCTCTGGGGATACACAGAATGACACTTTATTGAAATGGTTTTAGATTGTTCTGTCGAGCTGTGCCATCCAAATCTTTTATAAATATTAGATGAATACTCTTCTGTTATTGTCAGATCCAGTTTTCCTAAAGTCAGATTTTCGAAAATGCATTTTTAAAAATTCATCCAAGGTTTTAGAGAGATGAGTACTGTCATACCACATGCTAATGTATGGTTTATCAGAGGAGAGACAGTCCCAAATGCATTTTTTTTTCAATAGTGGGCTATTAGTTAATTAACATTTATTTATATTCAGTGTGCAAGTGATTGGAATTTGGGAAATTCTGGATAAAATAGACACCTATAGGGATGAAAAAGTCTGTGTTTTTTAAGCTGAGCCTTCCCTGAAACTGGAATTTTTGTCTCTGAGAGTGAGTTCTACTGAAAACCATAATGGAGGATATTGTCTTCATCTTATAAATTTTGGTTTTTAAAAATCATTGGAAATGATATTTGGTCAGTTTATTCATGATAATGAGATCCTCCCAATGTGATATATCGTGGAGATATTTTCACTTCCAGTCATCTCCAAGTGCACTTTTAGCATGGTTTTTGAAGCATAGTGTTTCTTTGAGCATGGAAAATCAAGAAAAATTAAAGTGTCTCATTTACACAACTTTAAATTGTGGTATGCTTTAAAATTCAAAATATTCAGCTCTTCAGTGATTTTTATGTTTAAAAATACAAGTTCTTAAATGTAGTTATGGGGGCTTCTGGTTAGACATTAGCAGTGCGTTGTACTAACGTCAGCAAAAAATGACCTGAAAGAAAGTATTGATTCCATGTCTGATTTTATATTTAAGCAGCCAATGGCAAATGTCCTCAAAATGGAATCAGATGTTTGTAACTTAATACTTAAGAAAAATGATGAGTGCATGTTTTTTTACTTTTAAGTAATCTTGGTGCTGCCTGGCTTAAGACAGAAACTGATGTAAAAATAAATGACTGCCTGCATAATTTATGTAATGTCCTGCTCCTGATCCTGTTTGTATTGATTTTTCTAAAAGGCTTTTGTGGCCACAGGAACCAATCTGTCTCTCCAGTTTTTTCCGGCCAGCTGGCAGGGAGAACAGCGACAAACACCTAGCCGAGAGTATGTCGACTTAGAAAGAGAAGCAGGCAAGGTAGGAAACATTTCTTTGCAATTTGAAATACTGTGGATTGTTTTACTATTAGCCATTACCTGATGATTTATATTTTAAGGAAGAGATCACAGGTCTGATTATAGACATGTGATCAGATTTGCTTTCATTCCATATTAAAAAGATATAATACAATTTTTAAAAATCAAGTGTTTTATATAATTTCATTGCTAATATCATGCTTATGTCATTTGCCACAGAAAGTTCTCACCCTTAAAGAGAGTAGTGTGCTTTCTTATATGTAACATTTGAAACTTAATTCCTTTAAAAGTGTGGACAAGAAATTCTTTGTTTTACTAAAATGTGTGTAACTATAGTGTTTTTTTAAAAAAATGAAATTTAGAGAAAAATGGGAAAAGACTTAGGCTTAAAATTTAATAGTATTTAGAAATGATTCATGGATAGATTTCCACTTTTTAATGTAGCAAATTTAATTTTGAGAAAATATGAAAACGTTAACATGGAAATATTTTTTTGTTTTGAGGAAAAGCTTCTGGGAAACAAATATCTTAAAATTTGTATGTAGGAAGTTTTAGATCAAAGATAGGAAAAATGTAGGTAGAAATGTTTAAGTTGAGAGCCCTATTAAAATCTAAGTTAAATGAATTATGTGCTTTTGATGAAATGTTAATGAATAGTGTCTTGGATTAGTTCATCTTTTAATGTAGAAACTGACTTCTTGAAATAAAATATTTAAAGAAAAAAGTTTTTTTTACCTCGTTTTGTACTCCGTCTTTCTCCTGTTTCCTTTGCAGCATGTTTCTATACCTGTTTTTATTAACTTGCTAAAATTGTTTTCTAAGTGTCATCGTGAATAGTATAGCCTATCACTTTATTTGCGAAACATAAGGATAATCTAAATATTCCTTTGAGGAACTTAAAAGATTTTCGTATTGGGCTGTATTAGAAAAAGGATTTTCATATCTTGTATATATACAATGAAGAGTTGTGAGGTTTTTTCCCTTTAATTTTTTGAAATAAAGTTTGCTCTTTTGTGAGTTACAAACCAACTTATCTTTTGATGGGGAGAGGGAAAATAGATTACAGAATTTTAAAATGAATAATAAGTTTGAAGTTTGCTTTTCTGTGTGTTAGACTTGTTTGCTTGGAAGATTAAAAGCAAATGTTCCAGGTTTTACTACTTGGTAATTCTTAATTTAAAGGAGAAGTTGGAAAGTAATGACAGTGTGTGATTATTGCTTTTTTGTCTGTTTGGTGTGTGAATGTGTGACTGTTTTTTTCCTTGTTCCAAACACTTCCTTAAAGTTTAACTTGCTAGCTCAGATACTAAAAACATAAACCAAAAAATTTCTTTCCTCTCAACTTTTATGCTAAACTCTTTTAGGATTTCATGACTGACATCTCAATGTTACTAAAATCTTCTAGTATTTAATAACTAGTAAATGGGTGTTAATTCTACTAGAATATGTTTGCTTGAATTAATGATATCTGTTTAGTAGATTGAAGACCATATTTTCCTTGGACTTAAGCTGTTGAGATGTTTTTAATTATACGATCAACAAGAACAAAAACCTTAGATAGCTTGTTCTAGAACTTAGAGAAAGTGTTTTCAAATATACCAAGAAAAATGATAGAACTGATGCAAGAAATCCGGAAACTTATATTTTATTAATATTTGTTTTATGATTTTCTTCTGTAAAGTGCCAGAGTAAATATTTTCAGTTTTGCAGGCATATGATCTCTGTTGCAGCTTCTCAAGTTCGCTGTTACGGTGTGAAAGGAGCCATAGACAATGTGTAAACAAATGAATGTGGCTGTGTTCCAAGGATGGTAATACTGGCAGAAATCTGTATCTTTCCCTCAGATTTAAATTGGTAGATGTTTGTGTATAGGCGATATATTTCTCAAATATAATTTTACCAGTACTTTCTACACCAGTAGAATCTAGGAAAAAGAAAGCATTTTAATGAAAAAAACCAACAACATTAAGAAAAAAAAAAAACAAAACCCTGCTAGTATTTCGCTCTTTACCACTGGGATAAGTATAGTAATGAATTTAGAGAAAAGATACTAACCCATGTTTTCTCATCCATAAAGCTCAGGCTGTGGGATCTCTTATTTCTCTTCTGATAACCATCATCGTTTATTTCTGTCCCCATAGGACTAGAAGCAAAGCAAATTGAAGCAGTTTCCCTAAATGTTAATTATTTGCCTCTGCTCCTTATACTAAATCCAAAATCAGTGTCTCTTCCACGTACTTTCAACCTAGTTAGGTGGTAAAGCAGCTTAGTTCTCTTCCCATTCAAACTCAGCTTTGAGAAATTGAGCCTTTAGAGTTACATATAAATTGAGGTTAAGTCCTGGCTTCATATACTACTTCATTTATTCTGTAACTTTAGACAAGTTGTTTATGGTCCTCAGTTATAAAGTGAGGTTAATGCATGTGTCCTAGGATGGCCCTAGGGATTAAATAAAATAATGTATGTAAAGTGCTTAGCTCAGTAACTGGCAGTTATTCAAAAATTCATTCATTCAGAAGGTCTTTGTTTAACACCTGTTATGTAATTTAGTGAGTACTGTTCTAGGCACTTGGTATATGAATAAACAAATCAAAAGATCCTGCCTTACAGGTTGTTTTATGGAAGGAATGGAAGAACAGGCAGTATGCGCAGTTTATAAGTTATGTAGTATGTTACAAAGTGATAAATGCTCTGGGGGGGGGGAAGGAAAATTAGAATAAAATAAGGGATCAATGAATGGGAATGTGTGCAATTTTAAACAGGAAAGACTGGGTAAAGAAGGTCATATTTGAGCAGAAACCTAAAGGAAGATAGGGAATGATGAGCAATGCAGATATTTGAGGGAAAGGTGATCCAAACAGGGGCCACAGCCTTGTAAAGGCCCTGGAGTGGGAGCTTGCACAGTGTGTGTGTTAAACAGTGAGTAGGCCAGTGTGGCTGGAGTACACTGACCAAAGAGGAGAGTAGTAGAAGAGATTAGGGAGATAGGAAGAAGCCAGTTTACATGACTGTGAGAGGCATGGGAACAACAGTGGACTTTTATTCTGAGTAGAGTGGAGAGTAGTTTCTGCTTTTTGAGCAGATGAATTATATGATCTGCCTTTAGTTTTGAAAAGATCACTCTAGCTGCTGGGTTAACAGCAGTTTTAGCATGCAGGAGTGAAGCAGGGGCGCCCATTGGGCTGTTGCAGTGATCTTGATGAGAGACCAGGGTGGTAGCAGTGGACACGGTGAGAAGGAGTCATAGTCCAGGAAGATTTGAGATAGAGCCAACAGGATTTGGAGGTGAGGTGTGAGAGTCAAGAATGACTCCCAACTTTTTTTGATTAGAGCAACTGGGAGTATAGGATTGCAGTCATCTGAGATGAGAAAAGCTGTGGGTGGAGCAATTTTGAGCAGTTTAGGGCATGTGAGTTTGTGGTGGTAGCTTGTTGCAGCTTCTGTTTTCAACGCCCACCCGTAACTTCTTAAATGATGGCACAGCTTTTTCCTAAGTGACCCTTTGTCTGCTTATCTCAAGATTTCAGTGTCTTTTTTTTTTAAAAATCAGCTTTATGAAAATACAGTTTACTTACCAAATAATGCCCCCATTTTGAGTGTATAATTTGAGTTTTAACAAATGTACACACCCATGTAAACACCACCCACAGTCCAGATAATATTTCATCCCCTTGTGCCCTTCCACAGGAATCTGAGAGTAGCTTAGCTGGTTGGTTCTGGCTCAGGGTCTCTCATGAGTTTGCAGTCCAGCTGTTGGGGCTCTTCAGTCTCAAGGCTTGATTGGAGCTAAAGGATCTCCTTGCAAACTCACTCACATGACTTTTGGTTGGTGGCTTCAATTCCTAGTCATATATTCCTTTCCATAGAGAGAAAAAGAATGAGGTCATCCTGCTTTTTATGACTTATTCTCTGATCACTTTTTTCTTCTTGTTCATTAAAAGCGAGTCGCTATGTCTAGCCCACAGTCAGCAGGGAGGGGGGTGGTTTATTCACATATATGGGAGGAAGCTGAGATCTTTGGGGCCATCTTAGAGGCTGGCTCCCAGTGTTCACTTAAATCTGATGAATTCAGGAAAAAAATTAGAATGCTAATAGGAAACAGAAGTTCCATATTCTCTTAGATTTGAAATATGGCTTTATGATCTAAGAAAATGGGCTTTGCAAAATCAGCCTTTGTATTCATTCTTTCTGCCTTTGTGTTTGTTGGAATATTTTCAAACCTAGAGTCTTCAGTAAGAAAGGTCTGTTAGTGGGTAACTGACCATCAAGTCAGAGCACACACTTTTATAGTCTGACTTTGAAATATATTTAAAACTTTTGCATCCAGGTACCTAGTGAGCTATTAACAGATAAAGCTGAATCTTTATTAAGGGTCTTTCTTAGAAGAGGTTTAAAATAATACTATATAATGGAGAGAGCTCTGGATATGTCTGGATTGTCAGAAGACAATCAACAATTGTTTTCCTTAGCTGTAAATGGGAATCAGAAAGTCTTCCCTGTTCATAAACCTCATGTGAGGATTAAATGAAGTACCAGAGTATGTGAAAATGCCTTCTTAATTGTCAAGCCCTATCCAAAGCTAGACTATTTGATAGGTTTGTAGAGTGAGATCGTAGATAATCAAGGATTTTTGGTGCTATAGAGGCCTTAGGTCAGCTTCACTTCAAGTAGCAGTATGGTGTTGGGAGACTATGTCTTTCCCCAGTGGCCCATCCTGGTATTTTATAAACCTAGACAGCCAAAATGTTCATAATTGTCCCTTAATTTAAGCTGCTTTCCTCTAATGTAGCTGTCAGAAAACAAGGAATGCAACAGATCAGAATTTAAATCATTCTGTGTGAAATTTTGTTAGACCAAGCAACACCCTGTTCCTTTGATCTTTCCTCTTGGAACTTATTTCCAGTTAATTTTTATTTCAAACAAATGCAAATGGTTATGGTTGATCATAAGTTATTAGTCGAGTGGTCAGATTAATGGTTTTTGCATGCATTCTGTGTTTTT